CAGTCCTTGACCCTCTGTAGCGGGTGCTTCAGGTCCTCTTCAGTTTCAGCAAGCAGGGTTGTGTCATCTGCATGACACAGATTGTTGATAGCTCTTCCACCAATCTTGACCCCACATTTCTCCTCATAGAGCCCAGCCTCCTGCATAATCTGTTCTGCATACAGGTTGAAAAGGTATGGAGATAGGATGCATATATACTAAACAGGACATCAAGAGAGAACTGTCAGATGTTGTGCAGACTGGGTTTAGAAGAAATCAAGATACTAAGGATATTATAGCTAGTGTTAAATGGATTTTGACTGAAAGCAGAGAGTACCAGAGGAATGTCTGATTATACTATCATCCCTATCCGTTTTAAACCAGCCTCATTAAATTTTTTTAGAAAAGATGGTTTTAAAATTTAGTTGTTTCTTTTACTTTTCCAAGAGGGTAGTGCCCTGGGGGAGGGTTGGGAGGGGCGAAAAAATGCAACAATGAACCAATGGAAATAAAAAAAAAAAGAGAGATCTTCAACAAGAAAAAAAATGTTTAATTGTGATACACTCAAGAAGGTCGTATTCTGGTTCTTGTGGGTTTGTTTTCATTTCAACCTTAATTTTAACTTGCATTTGGATGGTTGATTGCATTTGATTGTTCCACAGTTAGCCCCCCCCACCTGATTTTGATGGCTAGTGCTGAGTTTCTCCACTGCCTCTTTCCACAGATAGAGTCAGATTGATTCCTGCATAGTCTATCAACTGAGGTCTATGTGTATAGCCACTACTAAAGTTTTTTCAAAAAAAGTATTTGCAATAGATAAATCATTCATTGTGCAAAATGGTGTTATTTAATCTCCAGCCTCATTTCTGTCACCAAGTCTATATCTTCCAGCTACGATCCTTCCTCTTTGTTTCTAATTTTTACATTCCAGTCACTCGTTATTATTATTGCATCTTGATTGCTTATTTAATCAATTTCAGACTGCAAATGTTGGTAGAAATCCTCCATTTTTTCATCTTTGGCTTCCATGGCTTATGCATACATTTGAATAATAGTTATATTAATAGGGCTTCCTTGCATGTATAAGGAAAACACTAATCACTCACCTTGTACTTCAGAATAGATCTTGAAATATACTTTTTGACTTTGAATGTCACACCATTACTCTTTAATTTGTCGTTCCTAGTATAGCAGATCATGTGATTGTCTGATTCAAAATGGTCAATACCGGTCCATCTCAGCTCACTAATGCCTGGGATGTTGATATTTGTGCATTC